ATGAAGTACAACCAAAGCACAACTTTTTCTGTCTGCCAGAATCCTTTCTTGTACTCCAGTGATGAGGAATGGAGCGTTTGGAGTACCATCATCAGGTGTGGGCTTGGAGAACCACCTCAATTGAAAAGTGTCTGAGGTAGTTTGAGCATTGAATGACTCAACTCAGCAGAAGACCAAAGATACTCTTATTATGAAGTGTATATTCGACTGTTTGAAAGCGTTTGCAGATTCCTAATAATGATTCCACAGTGGAAGCGGAGAAGGTCTGGTTTCCTTTTTGGACCTGTGACCCAAAACCTGATAGCAGTTTAGTAAATAAGTAACTGGGCGGAAGGGTGTTTGATTCATTGAGTGAACCTGCAGCTGGGAAATGTCTTAGTTAAGCTACCCAGTTTGGAGGACCTGGGCCCATGTTCCAAATCTGCTCTGTTCCATATAACAGACAGCGCTGGAGTTTGGTTTACTTTCTTCTGGTATTCTGATGCTATTTGGATATCCGAATTTGAAAAACCTGAACATGTTGTATTTGGTTTGATTATGGTTGTTAAAACTGAAACACTTTTGTTGTCATAGATAAAGAACTAGATAGGGGTAAAATAATTTCATGCAACCAGGCCTAGTGGTGCTGTGAGAAAATCTCAAACTGTAGGAACAGAAAGCAAGCTGTACATACCTTATAGCCTCCATAGGTTAACCCAGCATTCCTTTTTGCAAGGACGCATTTCATCCTCAAAAAGAAGGATCGCTCAATTTCATATTCTGTTCAGGAGTATAAATATCCAGATTTAGTCACGTGTTGTTGATACAAGACTTTGTTTATATTCTGTAGGAAAGTTTTCTTTTTATACTTTTACTCATATTATTTAGTGTTGGAATCAAGACCACATCAACCGAGATCAAGGAGTATTGAGACCTTTAGAAGCCGAGACAGGACCAGGACCTCATATGGTGTTGTCTCGGTCTCGCCCTCTTAAGATCTTGGCCTCTACAGTTCTCGGCCTTGACTCAGTCTCTAAAGGTCTATCCCTTTTATCTGCCTCTAAAGGTCTCTGCCTTGTCTCAGCCTCTAAAAGTCTCTGCCTCTAAAGGTCTCAGCCTTGACTCGGTCTCTAAAGGTCTATCCCTTTTATCAGACTCTAAAGGTCTCTGCCTTGTCTCAGCCTCTAAAAGTCTCTGCCTCTAAAGGTCTCGGCCTTGACTCGGTCTCTAAAGGTCTATCCCTTTTCTCTGCCTCTAAAGGTCTCTGCCTCTAAAGGTATCGGCCTCTAAGGGTCTCAGCCTTTTCTCAGCCTCTTAAGGTCTTGGCCTTGTCTTGGCTTCTAGAGGTCTCTGCCTTGTCTCGGCCTCTAAAGGTCAATCCCTTTTCTCGGCCTCTAAAGGTCTCTGCCTCTAAAGGTATCGGCCTCTAAGGGTCTCCGCCTTATCTCAGCCTCTTAAGGTCTTGGCCTTGTCTCGGCTTCTAGAGGTCTCTGCCTTGTCTTGGCCTCTAAAGGCCAATCCCTTTTCTCAGCCTCTAAAGGTCTCTGCCTCTAAAGGTATCAGCCTCTAAGGGTCTCAGCCTTATCTCAGCCT